TTAGATAACCAGAACCAAATGGTTGTTCTTGTAGATGTTATTGAATAATGTTAATAGTTACTAAGCAATAAAAATGACTTAGAAAAACAATTAGGGCTTATTTAAACTTAATACACAATATAGCGGTGCGACATCGATACATCGTTAATCTCTACTTTTCTAATTTGCAAATTTATTGGCATTGTGTATTCCATTGATATTGCATTGTCCGGTGGTGCCAACAGTACATTCTATTATAGTAAAAACAGTCTCGAACTCGTCGAGAATCACAGCGCTGTCACAACATAGAGATTTAATCGAATAGAACCCACATTAAAAGATAATAAAGATTTTATTTCATTGAAGCTCTATTAAGTAGAGCTGCGCTTGACGACGAATTCGAGGCAAAATTTTTGTCAGATCAATTGATCTTGACGCAAAAAATCTCATCGCAACATCGCAAATTTGTATGAAGTTTCATTGATAAATAAATATTGGAGATTACCACTACACACTACAACTGGACTGGTACAATCGGAATTGAACCTAAAACCTATGAAAGTTCTTTGAAGCATACATTCAAAACATTCGTTCAGAAAATTCTTTGACGCAATAAGGTGGACCTACGGAAAATTGACAATATGAACATAATTCTTTCGTGTACTAAAACATGTTGTCTTGTAGATATAATATCTCTTTATTTTGACGTTGAATTCAGTAAAACACGTCTTTTATTCGTGAAATGACAGCGTACCCATGTTAAAGAGATCCATCAAAGTGAGGGGCGGGCAGGAACCCACTATAATGAGGCTAGTGATGCGAGTGATTTTAAACTCTAATCCCGATGATGAAAATAGTCTTAATACAAATATCATTTTCCTAAAATAGTCTAATAACTTTTTAAATATTGAATATTTGTATATTTGGAAAATCTCATAATTGAATTATATTAGGAAAATATGACCTTATGTCTCCACGAACCCTAGAAACAGTAGATGTAGGCAGTAATGCTATGAAAATTGTTATTAAGAAACCACTCAGGTCTTAGACAATTAGATAAAAGTACTTACAATGAAAAAGGTAGAGATGCCGAGATTCTGAAACCTACTTCGAGATTAATCTGCTTAGCTACGAAGGTATATATAATATTACTCTTTGTGTACTTCTATTATTATATTACGGGCACACAGAGTCATTGCTAGAACCGACCAAATTTACATCAGTTTTTATTATTTATAACTGTTTTTCCTCTACTTCGCCCAATTAAATTATAATGAGATATAAGTAGTAGTAATAGTGTATGATGTACCTACCCGTAGATGCTAAAATTTTATAATCAGATCAGTATTTCGAAGATTTCCCCCTATAAACAAAATTAGATACTGTAGCTCTTCATAATATTAGTAAAAATAATTACGCTACACGTCCATCTTTAAAATACCAGTTTGTAGAGTAAATTTATTTTAATAAAAAAACGGACGGACCGACACGTGAGTAATCTTATATGGGTTCCATTTTATCCTTCTAAGGTATCCCTAAATTAGAAATATAATTCCTAAATGTGTTTATAGTCTGTGGTAAGTACTGAAAAACTCTAGTATGATTTAATACGAAATCTTAACGGCTAACCCGCTTTTGTAGCACATCACTAAGAATGGCTATTAGGCAGGTGATAAAAGAAAGTAGCTCGCAATGTTTGCCGGATTATGAGCTAAGATGTGAAACTTAACGTCCTCTGACACCTGCCCGGCTTTAAGGGGATATTATAGCGGCCCAATTTGGTGCCTTTATAAGGAACACGCCGAAAATTCGACCTTTTTATTTAATGTGCACTTAAGCCACTTGCCCATGATTCGGCGTGACGAGCGAGCGATATTTTTCGAGCTTTTAAAAAAGTATATGAATATTTAACTTTTTTCATAAAGTAAGTTTGTAAACAACATTTACAAAATAATATCAGTCAAGTTTCGGTGGTTTGGGTTTAAGGTTGATTTTTTGAGGCCTATGCCCAGCAGTGGGCGTCTCCCGGTTGATATGATGATGATGATGATGATGAAGTTTCGATTGCTTTAGTATAGTCTACTATAAGTACAAACTATAAAATCATGAGACAAATAAATATACCTACTTTTGTAATATAAACTTCTTATATGTAGCTAAAAGAATAAGAAAATAAGAACAAATATTATTCTCTACAGCCAAAATATATCTCGAATGAGTGGTAGACTTAAAGAATGAATTAATGCTACCAATTTAAATAAAGAGAATTTTATCTTCGACTTTTAGATTCGTATTTATAGTTGAGACAAGTAATATCTTGAGAAAATTGTATAACTTAAGTAAATATTTTTAATCAATGGACGAGAATTTGAATGAAATGAATACTGTTAATAGCTTACTTAAAAAATGCTTAATGCATTAAGAATATTTTGCAGTAAACCATTGTAAATGCAAAATAGATCAAATATAGTAATCTTATTCATTTATTAAAAACATTTTTTATAAGTAATTACTCTTACTTTAACTCAAACAACTACTTTTACTCGAATAAAGATGGGGGTGTTACTCCCATAGCAACCTTTCGGTCTGACTAAATATTAAGATGGTAAAAACCCGCAATCCTAAAGCGTTAGTGAAGCTTAAGATTTTGTTCGGCAACATTAGTAAAAGTTTGTCATTCTATCGCTGGCAATAGTTTCTGAAGTTGCCATGTCCACTACACTGAAAAGCTGCTAAAAGTTTCTGGCACATCTTGTCATTTTTTTTCCAACCCAGACCAGCAAAGGAAACTATTACACTTTGCGCTTATTTTCTAAATCAAAATAAATAAAAATCATTGTGCTGTATTTTAGGAAGTCCATGACTTTGCTGAATAGAAATTATTCCAGAAAAAAAAAAACAGAAATCGGTATGAACCAAGATACTTAAATAAATAAGACTAATAGATTCAAAACTTTGTAAGGTTTTTAAGCTTTAATTGTACACTGGACTGCCTCATCATCATCATCATCATCATCAGCCCTTTTACGTCCCCACTGCAGGGGCTCAGGCCTTCTTTATGGATGGTTAAGGAGGATGGGCCATGACCCTCCACGTTGGCCCAAAGCGGATTGGAGGGTATTAACGACTGCAAATGCAGCCGGGACCAACGGCTTAAAGTGCCTTCCGAAGCACGGAGTAGCTCGAGATAATAACTTTTTGGTCACCCATCCCGTGACCGACCCTTGCGAAAGTTGCTTAACGACAACGATCGCGGGCCGCGGCGCTTATCCACTACGCCACCGAACTACTGCTGAACTGCCTAAACATGAATAAATGAGTATGACATTTCGCCTGTCTTCCTTCTCTACCAAATAAATTATCAATAATTATTTTGATCCATAGATCATAAAAATTATTATCTGCACGGATTTATTAGCAGATTGAATATTAAATCTGATCTGATCAAAAGAGTTTAATAAATAAAATTCCGGAATGAATGCATGCTAACATATTATTCTGTCATAATATTTCAAAGAGTCTCTGAATCCACGTCGGAGCCCTTTTTTATCGCCGACAATACAACACACTTATTAAAAATCATATTTCCATGTTTTATTGAGACCGTATCTCAATTGGCTCTTTAATATTCCAATGATTGCGTGCAAGTAATCGAATGTATAATTTATATTCGTAAAAGTCGTTGTACGTTGCCAAAATATTTATACCATCAAATGTAAGTGTTGAAAATACGAGTGTTCTCCACGATTCTCTGTACCGATCATTATGCCTTTGGCAGAATGTAAATTTCGTTTTTACAGCAAAACAAAGAGAGTGAAGTTCTTCTCGCGTAAAAAAAAACATCTTTGAAACGATTCCCCTGTTTACAGTAAAGAGTTGCCGGGCGTGAATCTGAATTGTTTACTCGGAGCACAGCTTTATTTTCGTATAATTCCGTTTTTCACGCACGAATATTATTTTGCATGGCCGTTAAATTAATGGCGATTTTTCTCGGCCGTTAGTGGGTGTTATCGATTCGGCAATTAGTTCTCCGATCGGATCAACCGTCTGATCGGCGAACATGATTGATGAGGAGCCGGCTCATTACCGAAACAGGGGGAAGGGCCCTGTCTTATCAACAATCACTGCCGCGAAAGTTGCTCGTCTTAAGATTACAGACGCCTGCCACGCCGCTGATAAAGATATATGGGCTGGTAGAGCTCGTTTAGAGCTTATAGAGGGTATATGTGGAAAGTTATGATATGAAAAGAATAGCTTTAACACCGGTTACATAGTTAATAATTATCCATCGGAGATTATCAGTTTCAAGTTGTTCGCCTACTCTCAGACAAGTTTAAAAAGCACCTTTTGAATATAAAAGGCTATCTAGCATCTTAACCCGTATTATCAACAATTACTTCTTTATTCGTTCCTTATTTGGCCTTAGATTCGAAAACGAAACGAAAATATATTTTCTGTTGAAATTCCTTACTTTTTACATTTCACTTGAAAAACGCATCCTCTATCTATTATATGAATGAACTTTCAAGTTAAATGAAGTGGTGAGTTTCAGTGCCAACAAAATATCTATTAGCACAAAGATTCCAACACCCGTTTTCACTAACCTAAAACAAGGCATAGCTTAATCGCCTCAGGATATTTGTTTAATTCCAAAAATTGTTTCTTTTATCCCTTAACATATTTATGCCCTGTCATATACGCAAATGCCTAGCGGAAAGTGCTGCATAACGAATAACATACATTTTAACATTGCTTAATTTCGTTCGGTGATTTGTAGTTAATGGTGAAATGCATTTATACCTTAGGCTATTCCTAATAATTTAGGCGAGAGATTTGGGCGACTCCTAAGTTTAGTGAAAACAGGCAAAAAATTCATAATTAATGGAAGTCCAAATAATTCTGGGCATATAGGATAATTGTTCGTTTTTGAATCAAGAGGTAATATGTCCATTAGAGTTGATATATATTAACCACCAATTTGGTCACACATGATAATAATTATATTGTATGTTTGATTATAGTGGGCGGAATGTCACGCGGCGGCAGCGGCGCCGGCAAGACTGCGACTGCGAAGCGCGTGCCGCCGCCCGCCGTACCAGGGGACGCGTTTGGGACTCCTCAGCACCGCCACTCGGGCTCCAGTTTCGGCTCGCAGGGTTACGCGTCGTGCGAGGAGCAACCGTACCCGCAACCGCCAGATACTCCATCACATACTAGAGGTGAGAAACCAATAATTGATCAATAGGTACTCATTATATACTCTTCTATGCGGCGATACGAGTACGAGAGTTTAGGGCGGCTCCGTAGTCTATTGAGTCACCTTACCACGGCTCCTAATTTATAATTTTCTATCAGATTACAGACATGGCAAATGCTGTTAGGGCATCTAGGATCATAAAGAAACAGAGACAGGTTATCAGCGATAGTGGTATAGCTTTAGGACTTTTTTCATGATTCATACTCTAGATCTTTACGCTCGGGGAAATATTTATTTTTCTTAGAACCAAAAGCAGTCGTGGATATTTCTTTCTTCGCTAATCATTGTTCACACCATAATCTAAAGCTTATCTTACAAGTACATTTCATCTTCCTGTATTATATGCCATATAACAAAAACTAAAATTATTTAAACTCTTAATTATGTATATATTATCTGTCCATTGTCGTCACTTTATACAATATACATATCAGCAGAATGCAATCGATATGTTATAACTTTTAGATCCATTGTTTAAACGTTCGTTCATGGGAAATCTAGAAAATAAATTACATACAATACCAATTTGGGAATATTTTATTAATATTTACGACTTTCTTTTTTTATTACTACTTGATAAGCGTAGGCATTTTATTTTCACTTACGCTGCAACCAAAGATAAATCTGGTGATGATACGATAGCCTTAACTTCCAAAAGAAGCCTCCTTACCGCAATTCATCCTTCTTGTTTTCTCTGAAATAATACTGTTGACCTACAATTTTAGTTAATATCTACCTTCTTACGTAATATCACTTCATAGTATAAAACAAAGTCGCTTTGTCTGTCCCTTTATACATAGGGATGTATGCTTAAATCTTTAAAACTACGCAACGGATTTTGATGTAATTATTTTTCATAGATAGGGTGACTCAAAAGAAAGGTTTTTATGTATAATACAAGACGCGGGAGAAGCAGCTGGCGAAAAGCTAGTATCCAAATAAAAAATCTCACAATAAAAATTATGTACAGCCGTAAAGGTTACAATAATATTGAGATTTACTATTTAATAGCGTAGAGTAATATTGTCTGAAGTGCCATTTGATTTGCTTCGTGGACTAATCCAATTCTAATAAGTTATGAAAAAAGGCTCTGAAAGAAGATTTCAAGTTGAAATAGTATTAAAAACTTTAAGAGGTTTATGAGAGCAACTTATCTCATAATGTTCCGTCAGAGCAATATTTTTTCTATTTACGACAAATATTAGGACGCCGAAAGATTTATGTCGAACAAAGCATAGTTATTGGAAGCATGGCTAAATATTTTTTGTCTTCGATACGGTTTTTGTTGTCTTACATAAACATTGCACCCTTGAGCTCTCATTGGTACCAAGACTTGAATAAAACTTTATTGTATAATTTCAGATGATCACTCGGACTATGGCAGCACAGTTTCTGGCGTGTCTGGTGTCAGCGGTGCCAGCGGGAGTATGGGCAAGAGTCCCGCTGGTGGTGGCACGTTTACTTTCCCCCCACCCTCGCAGCCGCTCACACATAAAGCTGCTGTCTATTACCACCACCAGCTAGCACTCAGCGACGACCAGGGCATCGATATGACACAGGTAATTATCATTCACATACTAATAGGTGTCTTTTACGGAGCCAGTGAGAATGGAATACCATCATTTTCTCCAAAGATTCAATTCATATCTCCGTTTTATGGTCAGCCCAAAATAAACTATATTTTATTATAATATATAACAAAGTATCACTACCAGTTACATGTCTACAGCAAATCTATACCAAATACGCAGTAAACCGTGAGAACTACTTGTTTCTGAGTCCTGTTGCTTGTTTTGCTGTATCCGATACTCCATTATCGATTGTCGCTGCTGTTAAAACCGTCACCACCACACAGTTAAGACAACGGATTCAGACCTTTATGTATTATACTTCAATATTTTCCGTACGTAACATATCGTTCTCCCTTCAGAGTCCCGGTCGTGACAGTCCAGGGTCCTCATCAGGGTCAGCGGGGTCAGGGTCCCGGCACTCGTCAGCATCTCTAGACAGCGGGCGGGCGTCAGGGCGTGTGCCGCACCACCACCACGCCTCCTGTCATTGTGGTGATACTGTCGACCGCGTCCGCGCCATGATCACGCAAGGGCTTCCAGTGAGTACCTATTACGTGACGGTATAAAATTCTGATAGATCATTCATTTAAGGTACAGACGAATAGAAATCTTCTCTTCATGTTAGCAAAAATCTTGTGACCATTACATGGTAAATCTCCCGGATACATGCCCTGGGTACATAGTTATCAGCCGCAAAAAATACCACATTCTATAATTTAACCTATTATGGTCGTGATATAGTTGATATCTTATATTAAGCTAACTTTCTAAAAAACCTCGATAGTATGTGATTATTTCCTTAGATCTAAGAAATTTTGCTTCTCGGCAGTCAAGTGGATAAACAGCCCTTGCAAGGTTTCTTGCCGACTGTTCTAAATAAAGGGTCTACCGCCGTAGGAATAAAAATCGATACCATACCTTTCACGGATTCTCCATAAATTAATATAAAATACCTTGTCGCAGGACTCAGATATAATTCACGCGTGGCTAGCAGACCTTCAGATGGAAGAATACGCCCGTCTATTCGTGGAGGCTGGTTATGACCTGCCCACTGTTACGCGGATGACACCTGAAGACCTCACCGCAGTAGGCATCAAGAAACCAAATCACCGCAAACGACTCAAAGCGGAACTCGCTAATCTTAACGTGCCAGATAACCTGCCCGACTATATACCGGTACGTCTACCTTAGGTGCTAAGCCTCATCATCATTAATATTTTCTGCTGTGGAGCACCTCCTGTGGTGTAAAAGTGACGAACGAACTTGACGTCCAACACAGCATTGTCACAGCATCCTTTATGCCGTGACTTTACACACCTTAGTAGCTAAGGATCTTTAATGTTCCTGGTGCTGCAGCCTGTGGTGGAATGAAATATGGAGAACAGCAATGCTAATCTATAAGAAGTTCAGCGTCGAATGCGATGTAGTGCTTTACATCACTGTCACAGCATAGAGGTACAATCAAATAAAACAGATTTGATAAAGGTAAAAGAGACTTTATTTCATTGAAACTCTATGCTGTGACAGCGCTGTGCTTGATTGATTTTCTTACAGAGTAGTCATAGTTTGCTGCCTCCAACCCGACAAAAGGCGCATAAACGACACAGAATTCTATGAATAGCGATACGTATATTTTTTGGTACTTTAAATGTCATTATCCGATTTTCCGTTCTGTCGCCAGCTCTAGGAATATAGTATCACTACATAGTATAAATCAAAGTCGCTTTCTCTGTCTCTATGTCCTAAGAATACTATGTATTCTTAAATCTTTAAAACTACGCAACGGATTTTGATGCGGTTTTTTTTCATAAATAGGATAATTCATAAGGAAAGCTAGTAGAGTATAAAGCTACTATGCTGAACAGCAGGCATCTGATCTTTGGAGCAGAAATAAATACAACAACTTTTTCACTTGCTTGTCATCATGAAGGACCACCGTAGTAACTACTAGTAATACGGTTCCTTTCATACAGAGATGGGCAAAATGCAACCATGATTAACGATTAAATTTAGTAACATTCACCCAGGATTGAACATTACATGTTGTAATCGATTTTTTCGTTATATATTATATTTCATTAATTTTGCGGTCCCAATGCTATACCGAAAAATATTCTTAATAAATAATACTTAAAAATGCACATTCTGAAGTCACCCGGATTGCGAAAAGCCAAAGGTTCGAATCCCTTCTCAGAGTGCCAGGGACAAAGTGGATTTTTTAAGCAGATTTCGTTAAGAATATTTATTTATTTATTACCCATTAATCTTGAAATTTTTTCTTCAAAATCTTTGATGTAGGATAAACTTTACAGAATGTAATCATTAACCATGATTACACTTTGCCCATCTCTGTTTTGAGATCTCTTCTTAAACAATTTCATTACAGCGGGAAAGCAATTAAGCTTCAATAGCCTAATTGTTTTCCCGCGCCTTCGCCCACGTAAATTGTAGATTATATCATCCAGTCATAGCTTACACATATAGTATGATATAGCTTCACGTACACGGAAAAATTTTCATGATCGGGTCAGTATTTCATATTAGCATAGATAGGACTCAAATGAATATCAATATTAACTTACGTAATTTTCTAATTTCAGGGTTCCTTAGAAGAATGGCTTCGGTTACTGAGACTAGAGGAATATGGACCGGCGCTAGTTGCGCAGGGATATCGCACTGTACATGACGTCACACAATTAGCTTGGGAGGTAATTATCACAAACGATAAAGTTACGGCCGGTTTCTGAATTGAGAAAAGTATAAAAGTATAACATCTAAACTTACGTGACAAAAAGTAGTAGTTTTATTAAACAACTATCAACTGATCGTTACAACAATTAAAGTCAGAAACAGAAACCTATTTAAAGAACGTTTAAGATGGCTTAAGTACGGTTTGAGACGTGCTTAGCTTTAAATTCTCAAATCAGAAACCGGGTGTTAGTCAAACTAAGAACAAAAAATTATTGAATTAAATTTCCAATTATTGAAAAATATTTCAATTTGTTTTTAGGTGTTTAGCACTTCGAGTTTTTGTTTGTTTACAAACAAATAAGTAATTCTTTTATATTTACTAAATTCATATTATTGGATTTTCAGGACTTAGAAGATATGGGTATTGTACGTCTCGGTCATCAAAAGAAAATACTCCTGGCCATAAAAAGAGTGAAAGACATTAGAGCAGGAAAGAGAAGTATCAGCAATCAGGGCTCGCTTGACTTCACGAGGATACAACCTGGACAGGTCAGTCCATAGACGATATTTAACAAACCTTCACAGTTTGTAGTGATGTTTTAGAATAACGATTAGAGACCTTCATAGATTACCTTTATGGCAGTGGATGAATTCAAAAATGGAACAAGAGAAATGAGTTCAGTGTAAATTTGATTTTCTTTTTTTTATTTGAACGGAAACGTTCGAATCAATTCTGTTGTTCCTATTATGATCTCAAGAAAAAATCTAATTATAAAATCTAATTTTCAAAGGAAGTCCACTATCATTGTCTAATTTAAAATTAGAGTGCAAGTGTTAGAGTTTGATATATCAATCGAAATTATTTTCAAAGCATCACTTCTAATGTTTTATTTTATAATTATTGATTTTAATATGTTTTGTTATTTTAATTATTATTTTATATCATCATTTACTCATCCCATATTCATCTTCATATATCATTATAATATTGAGTTATTTAAAAAAACTTATTTATATTAACTGATAACAGGAAAAAACAGCTAAAAGTTAAATATATTAATTTTCCTTTACAAAATAATTACTAACTGCGCTTGTTAACAAAAGTCGTTTTATAATTAACTTCGCTTTCAATAATTTTGCCTAAAACAATTACCTATATGTAGTTTCTTGGGTTACTCCTTTTTAGCCCTGAAGGCTTTTTAGTTGACATACAAGGACATGCTGGAAATTAATTTGCCAATAGATGTGAAATAGTGGACACACGGGAAAGTGAATGTCCTCGTGACACGATTGGCGCCAAAAGTAATGTCAAAATTTGTTTTAAAATCATTTCCCGATGCGTTCAGGAATCGTTATCATTTCGCTTTTTTATTTGAGACGTTTAGATGTCTATGTTTATCGCCATTATTCGTCTATGGTGGAATTGTTAAACAATCCTGCGACTACTTATAGTTTTATTTTGAAACATTTTCGTTTGCGATGAATTGTACCTACAGCTGATATTTTAGTGTTGAATCCTTTTTTTCAACTCTTAATTATAACCTAAATGAAAGAATTTAATTCAATTAAAGACAATAACAATTCAAAAAAATCCCTTGTTTGATCTCAGCCTTAAAATGAACATAGATTCAATTAAATGACATTGAATTTGTTTACTATTTTTCAATATATTATTGATTTTTATAGACAACATCATGTCCACTTATATACCTTGATAGTAAACCCCGCGAACTTCAAATATTAAATAAAGTGTTAAATAACTCATGGCCTCCCTTAGTTTAACTTTGTTTCCAATGTGACGTTACAACTACTCATACGCGCACTACGCAATGTCATAACCTCAACAGTCTCTGCGGGTACCATGACAACTGTCGTAATCTTTCGTCGTTATTAATTTCTTAAATGTTTTAATAATTACTGTACTAATCCGGAGTCAAATCAAACAAATTGAATATCATGAAAATCTATCCATCCATCCTCGAGTAATATATCGAGTAACTCACGCGTTTTAGGAACTTTTATAGATATAGAAATACCTTGAGTTAACGTAACTTAAATTAACCGAAGTTTTCGAAGGTCCCATATTGTTTGCCAATATTGTTTTTCCCCAAAATTTCCGTTTTAAAACCTTATAGCTGAGTGTTAGTATTATCCTATCGTCCAATGAATCGCAAGGTCGCAGGTTTGTTACCCACCGCACACGTCACCCGCCGCATCCGAACACCGGCCCAGAGCAGCATGTGAATGTTTTCTTTTTTCTTTTCTTTCCAAAACCACACAATCCTCCACTTGGACATAAACAAAAAAAGGATTTATATCCGAGGGAGCATTACCAGCCTTGGGAGAGACATGCGAGGAGTTACCATAAGCCCCCCGATCTAAACTTTGATGCGCTATCGGCGAACATTTGTACCACTGACCTGGTCCCGATACAGGTATGAACAAAACTCCTAATGGCACATGGCACCGGCTTTGAAATGCACAATGATGTTATTTTTATGAGAGTTTCTCTGTTTTTTATTGTGATTGGTGTGTTCCTCATGCACTATGGTCGTTTTCTTGCACATTTCCATGTGTTTCTGTTGTTTTTTTTTTTATTTAGGCATGCACGGTAGAATTATACAGCCAATATCTCTAAACTAATAATGAAATTTTATTGGATTATTCTATAAAAATATTTTTTAACTGCATTAGCATGTATTTTAACTATAATCAAAAAAAAATTATATTAATTATAATTAAATATTTACGAATTCAATTTAATATACAAATCGGCATGGTATCCGCTCTAATATTGATACGATCGATGTATATCTTTGTATTATTATTGATACTACTTCAACTATATGTATAATTGCATCGTAACACAAATTTTAATATTGTAAATACGTAATTTGACTATCAAATTCACTGTCTATAAGCGATGGAATGCAACATTAATTGAATGAATGATATACCAACAGATACGTCATCCGCGCGGGAAATCATTGGAGAGTTTGGAAGATCCATCGGAGAGGTCGTCCCACACGACTTTCTCGCCGGAAGCCGGTTTCTACTACGGCGGTGGACAGTGGCGGAGATCATACGATGATGGAGATATAACGCCCACTAACGATAGTTCGTACGAAGGCGGCGGTACTCTGCCTCGGCCTCGTGGGCTAGTGAGACCTCGCCCGGTGGCGAAGATAGCAGCTACGCCCGCTTATAGGCAAGTCTTTGTTTTAATTGCAAAGTTTAAAATCACTCATGCACCGCTGTCTGTACCCTGAAACCTTTTAATCTACTCAACGGGTGGTTGCAGTTTTCATCATTAAACAGAGTGACTATAGAAAGGTTGATATGCATAATACAGGACCAGGTGGCTTCCGCTGGCAGAAAATTAATATTATACTCGTAATAAATAAATAAAATAATACTAAACATCAACCCATACATTGCTCAGATTCCAAAATGAGCTAAAGTCCTCGTATTATGGTACTTCAACACCCGGACTTGAGACAATATAGAAAACCTCTTTTTCTACATTGGTCTAACCAGGAATTGAATCTGGGTAATTATATTTGATCACTTTTGCATTTACAATGCTATACTGGCCGGGGCCGGTGGATTTTTTAAGCATTTTTCATTAAAAATGACATCTGAAGGCCTATTCTAATTCTATATATTCGAAAACAAAATTTAGTGTATTTTCGAAATGTTAGAACAACTCCAAAGAAACGCATTTTTCGATAGGTGATTTATGATGCAACGGAGGTATGATCTGACACTGCCTCTGATGCACAGATAATATTTACGGATTTGATTATAGCAAAATTATAAGAATGATTTGAAATTTTCACTGGTGGACAAATGGAATAGGCCCTCAGATGTGCCACCGCCTATATCTCTAGTCTTGATACTAGCCATAGGATAAGACATTTTAGCGATTTTTCTTTTCATTTTACTACGAGTACTTTGACATGTCTTTTAGAGGATAAATGACTAACTTGGTAACAACGCTATCAAATCCATAACTATCATTCTCATCGTTCGTTCATCCTTACTAAAGTACACATCGAAATAGTAAAATGAAACAAAATATCGCCATCATATCGATAAGATGTCATATCCTATGGCTAGAGTTAGACGGTTGCTCTGCAAGTATCATGTTAATATATCAATTTCCGCAATGAATTTCGATCTCTACCTTCAATATATTAATTATAAAATTGTAAAGACAATTTTGTATAAGTATAGTTGACCGTACATAAACAATATCGAATGTTATTCGTTATACAGGGATAAATCGCCAGATTACGCGTACGACGAGATAGCGTACTCAGCGCGTCTCCAACGCGTCGCGTACGGAGCCAGTCCGCACGTCGCTAGGAAACCTCCCCCGGAACCGCCCAAACGGCAGAGCTCGCAGTACGCGGCGTTCACCCGCTTCGGTCAGACTACAGTTGAGATCCACCCGGAGAAGAGTCTCCCGCTGAGCCTGCCCGCGTACCCAAGCTCCGACTCGTTGTCCGTCTCGTTGGACAGCACGGGCCTCCTCCCCCCACCCCCCGCGCCCGACTCTCCCCCTAGGAGGTACGAAGATGATAAGCTGAGAACCGGCTCCGATGCTAGTTTCAAGGTGAGCGGATAATACTTTTTATAAACTTTTATATAACTAAGTAATTAAAGGATTGTCTATCAACTTAAAATAGAAATCAGTTTATTACTTGACAGTTACAACAATAAATTAAGAACTGTTTTTAATGGTAACTTATATCAAAGTAAATTTAAATTAAAGTATAAACATTTTTTTTGTTCATTAATTTTACCCTTTTTAAAAATAATGGTGCTTATTTACAGTCGAATTCGAGCACCGAATCGGACAGCATCCCGTTCGCGAACGAAAACGCGGGCACGATAAAACAGAACAGGGGGCAAATAGGCGGGCGGGGGCACGTCAGCGTAGAGTACGCCCCACGCGCCGCCCCCATCCCCCGCGCCGACGCTAAACCCCCCACCCCCCACCACGACAAAAGCACCGAGCCAGTGGACGTGCTCAACGACATCGGCAACATGCTCGCCAACCTCACCGATGAATTAGACGCGATGCTCGAAGAAGAAAAACGTCAGGGCCTCGCCGATTCCTAAGACTAGACCTGAAAATATTTTTTTAAAAATGGAACTTCGGTTTTCGAATTCGCCGGCCGCCCCGGTGAAATTCCAAAGAATGTGTCTCGTTGTTACGAATGACGGAGAAAACTTCGCTGGGTTTGAATAAAGAATAGGGGAAATAAAGATTCAGCTAGACGTTAAAAAAAATTTAATTGAAAGAACGTGTCTTCAATATCACTTCTGATGCATTTTTTAGTTAGTATTACAATCGGAAATGTATGCATCGTACCTACGAAGGACGTAGATATATAAATAAATCAGAATAATGCAAATAAATAACTAGTTTTTTGCGTTATTTCAATTACACGTGCTTAAATTGTAGAAGCCAAACATTTGAATGAAAGTTGAATCTAAAGAGACCGTCGAAAAGGACAAACTTTTATTAAGTCGACAATCCCGCTCGCTTAGCACGGTTATTTCGTTACTAATCTCCATCGCATCCTGCCATTGTCAGCAATTACATATATATCTTATCCGCTGGATAAAACACTGTAATATAATAATAGTTTTCTATCTACGTAGCATTTGTACCTTTGTAGCATATTTTATACATGCCCATTCGATGTAATTTTGTTTTATTGACATCAATAATACTTTTAAGCCTTAACAATGTTTTTTGTTATCTTTATTTAGACTCATATTGTTTTTAATGATATTTCAGTTCCTGGCATTATGTTTTTTATTATGTTATCGAAATTATGTATTTTTTTTATTGTAGTTGTATCCAAAAGTAATGAGAATGGCTATTTTTGTAAATATTGTTTTACTTAAATTATGTCATAGGTAAAATATATCCCAGTAGCTAGTTTTCCATGTACAATAATAAAATTGTAGATTACTCGTTCGATAGTAGAATTGAGTAGTTAGAATTTATACAAAGTAATAGTCTAGATATAGTGTGAAAATTTAAAGGGTTTAATGTATAGACATTTGAATAGTGATAGACTTTATAGATATTGTATGTTAACGTTCTTTTATTGCATTAAGGACATGCCGGTTGCCATTTTATGCTTACACGGCATAAAAAAGCCAATAAAGCTTTTGCAACACTCAAATGTGAGAAAAAACTAATGAATATTTTACACCTTATAATTACACGCTCTCTTTAAGCGATCGTGTGCAATAATTTCAATCTTAATCGACCTTTATATCACAACTCTGTTATAGTCTTCTGATTTTACTCAATTACAATGATTTTAATAGTCATAAATGATTCTGTTTCCTCAATTTAAAGCTCAAAAAGAGTTATTAAACTCATAACGTGATATTTAAAGGCCATAACATTATTAACACAAACAAAACAGTTATTTTTAATTAAAATGAGTTATAATTACACCTGTATTACTTCACAAAGGAAATAAGACATCATTAGGATCCAGGAAAATAAATAATAAAGGCCTACTCTACATTAAAAAAGTGTCATTTGAAATTTTGTTTAATATTCCTGGAGACTTGATGAGGCAGACATTTCCGTGCATTGTATAGCTTAGGAGCCGTCAATTAATCACGTGATGTTTTTTTCAACTCTTTATAACCACCCCTCCCCCTTGGTGATATATGGTGAGGTTTAAGACTACCCTCATCCCCTCCACCCAAATCACGTGTATTTTTTAGTATATAGAAAAAAAAACTTAATTTTTGACGCCGCTTTTCAGATTAATAATCGCACATTTGAAGAAAAAATGCATGTACACGATATATTACTACACCCCCCTCCCTCGACTTTAGAGCCTCACGAGATTAATGAACGGCCCCTTATGATGCGTATAAAATCGAAAAAGAAATTATTTATTTTTCATAAATGTAGAGTACTCCTTCATGAACCGTCATGGTCCTAGGCCGAACACGCACTTTAATAATTCAACTCCATTCGCTGCAAGTTGAAATTGCGTCGGTTGTTCTTATTTTGATTCTGATAATAGACAATAAATTACGTTTGAATCAAGAAGTTTATAGTGGTATATAGTCGACTCTATTAGTGGTCCATTTTATGGGATCGCTTTCTAAAAGTATGTTGCGACCACAATTTTTTTACAGTGAAATAAACAATATTAAGTGATCATATATAGTTGAACTAACATGTTTATAAATACAATGCTAAATATGAACTAAGCTTTCGTACGCACTGAATTTTTTACAGTCATTTGATAACGAATAGTAGCTTTTTATATACTCGTAACAGAATTGGAAAATAACCGGGAAGGAGAAAAATTATCTCCATTTTAATTAGCCAACATTTATGGGAAAAATATATACAATCAGCTGTTTCATCTTCTTTATGGTCTAAATAAAAAAAAGTGGTATGAAAAGCCGTCACTCTGTAGTTATTAAGCAAGCACATACTTATGAAATCTATTTAAAACGACTTTTTTCTCTTGTATTATCTTAAGTGTGTGCTCGTCCTATTGTAAAGCTAGAAAGGTGCTAGACTTAAATTGTAAAAAAAAACAAAACAAGAAGCTGAAAGTTATCATTTGTTTTATTGTAGGATTTGAATACATACCTGTCTATCAAAGATTGTAGGTATTTTATTTGTTCTACGAACTAGTCAAAATTATTATTCGAGTGGCGGCACAGCTGTGAAAAATAATGTAATTATGTTTGTATATTAATTATAAATGACAGCTTATCTTCCTTATTTTATAATTCAGTTCATAATTTGAATAAATATATTTGTAATATCCATTATGTGTTTTATTAAATTTTTGACATATCATCTGATATCGCCATGAAACTGCTTTGCTATTCGTTATTTGCTACAATGTACAGCAGAACGTTATCACCGCAAAGGTTGAACCTTTGCGGTGATAACGCATAATAATTATATAGAGCTTAAATAGTGGGACAATTTAAATTCGATGCTTATGCTGATTTGAACACCTATTCTTGTCGAATCTGCTAATGTCAATTAACTATTAACATTAAAAAATTATTAATAAAAAAAATTACTGCTAATCATCATCATCAGCCGTAAGACGGCTACTGCTGAGCATAGACCACCCCCATAGGTCCGGGGCTACCCGAATCCAGTGGCTTCCTGCAACCTTTATAAGATCATCGGTGCGTCTAGTGGAAGGCCTACCCACTGAGCGTCGTCCGGTACGTGGTAGCTATTCGAAAACTCTTCCGCCCCAACAGCCATCAATTCTCACTATTGTCCCGCCCACTGCCACTTCAGCGGAGTAATATTTTGAGCAATGTCAGTAACAGTAGTTCTCCTACGAATGTCCTCATTTCTAATTCGATCACGTAGAGAAATACCAACTATTGCTCTCTCCATTGCCCGTTGTGTGACCTTGAGCCTACCTATCTACCTTGAGTATACATTCTGAGACCCATAGTGAACGACGACGTTTCGCTTCCGTAAGTCATCACTGGCAACACACAATGATCGTAGACTTTGGTCTTGAGACACTGTGGTAATATGGACGCGAAGATTTTTCGTAGCTTCACGAACGCTGCCCATCCGAGCTGGATTCGACGTGAGATCTCTTTCTCGAAGTTGGACTTGCCTAGCTGGGTTGTCTGTTCTAGTTAGTGGAGTATTTTTGCTAATTTCAACGGCAACTTCAAGAGTAATATTCCCAATTTTAACTGGAGTGGGTACAACATGAACGCTTGACGTGATTTTCGTCTTATCCATGTTCATCTTAAGACCCACTCTTTGGGATGCACTGTTAAGATCTTCAACCGACTGCTAAATCAAACTGAGAAACAAAAGAACCAAGTTATATTATGGCTTGGCTAAACACAATGGCTATCATTACAGTCGAGAGACCTCTTGATTTCAATGTTCAGCAGAACGTTTCCCCAACTATAATGACAATTTTGTTTAGCCTAACCATAACACAACGTGTTTATTTTTAATTTAATCCTTCTAGTAAGCTTTTGATTATGTAATACAAGTTAGATTTTTGAAATTATAGACTCTCCAAGAGATTTAATTTTAATACCCATATTGTTGTAATTAAAGAAAAAATCATGACGTCATACATTCGCCATGGTAAATATTTAGTATTCTCATTTTAATAGCAACATTTGTCAACCCTTTCAAATTTAAATTCGATAAAACCAATGATATTAATAAAACACACTGTAACAAAAAACCTACTCAATCAAACTTTGAGCTTTTAAAGAACAAACAAATATTAAAGTAGGATGAAAAATATTTAAGAAAACTTAGGTTCGATGCGATGCACCTCGATATCAATGAGCGATATGTCACAAATCTCCTCGATATCGAATTTCGGTCTGGTCTGTGATATCACTTTAAAACATATGAAGCGGTCAAACACTAGTTCCGTTTCGATTTTCTGTTCAGTAAAATCGAGAAGAGATTCCGTTTCACAATCTTACCATATCATCAAAATATATTAAATTTGATAAAAAATATGGCAATATTGATAAAAAATATGGCCTTTATAAACAAGTGAAAAGCTGGATATTGTAGTGTTTTGCGCGTTTGATTTGCTCTATTTGCAACATAAGGCCCTATACGCGGGTTCAGTTATGAATGCTAAGTGGGTTGCCTTGATACTGAAGCGACGTTTATCAAAGCCAGTAATCGGATGGATGACCAAATTTTTTTACACATTACTTAGCAAGTGTGCTTGGTGCATATCCGGTGCGGAGCAACAATCCGCTCAGCCAATCAAAAAAGATTGGTCACCCAATTAATTACTGACCTTTGCAAAAGTTGCTTAACCTTCGCAATCGCAGATCAAACGCACTTACCAATTGTAGATATAGAAGAAGAGAAGTCAAAATCCGCCACACCCCGCAACACCCCGCCCTATCCTGTAACGCCAGTCCCACCCCACCCTGCTCAGTCAAATAAAATAAATTATTCACCCATCCCAGTACTGGCCTGTGTGAAAGTCGTTTAATCTTCGTAAACGCCTGTCGCGCTCCACGCCGGTCAGCCAAATAAATTAAGATTACCTATCTGACTACCGGCCTTTACGAAAATCGTTTAATCTTCACAATCGGTTACCAATTGTACATATGCACTCGATACCGTAAACGCATACACTTTATACCTATGAGGTATATTAAATATAGTAGAAATTTACTTTTTTTACAAATCTGTGACGTCGCGAGCCCCTACTCTTCAACTTTAATGCCTATTATAAACGCCATTTCTTGTTTAATTGTAGTAAAAAAATATATGTAGTAGGAGCCTTAAAATAAATACTCAATAATTTCCAGAAAATGATTATAATACAAAAAGTATTAAGTGACAAGTACAGAACCGCACAACACTATAAATGCATAAAAATTTGTACAAACGATAGATACGCCACTGCTCTGAATTTCCTCGAAGTTTTCACGGAAAACTGTTTTTTTTTTCTTAGCTTGTACAACTTGTTTTACGGTTATGGCTAAGTCTTGATTGGCGACTCCTCTACCATAAATTTCATTTCCACCAATCACCGTAAACACACATTGGATCGATGACAAGACTACCAAACGCAGAAAACGAAATGTCAGTCAGTCTTGCTTGTTGTCATCTGAATTTTGGTTTGCGCGATCGATAATAGAAGTTGGTAGTCAGGATTTGAGGTCGTTTTGCTGTAGCCTTTGATGGGCAAATTGATTTGGTTCTGTAACTTATTATAAAGTGCCAGAAAGTGTAAAAATGGAGACGACAGGCGCATACGGTGGCGGAAAGGCTGGTGGAGCGTTTGACCCCCAAGCCTTCATACAGAGACCTCCCGTAATAGTAAGGGCGGTTTGTTGGGTAAGAGCTTCATAATCCTTCCATAACATATTACGTTATATACTCAAACTGTTTCAAGGACGCGGAACTATTCAATTTCTTTATAACCATATATGAATAGATACGACAGATTAATTGATTAAAATGGAAAAGGTAGTTTTTACAGAATTAGGTAAACCCAGGTATATAAATGTAATATAAAATATCTACTCTTAATAATAAATAACTTAACATTTATAAGATGAGGATTAAAGTTAAATACAATTTGTCAGGACAGTCTGTCGTTTTCTATTGTATTTTTTTATTAAGACTGCTTACAAATGACGAGATAACATTAACTTATTTGTGCGTAACATTAATTTATTTGTGCGAAATGATAGTTAAATAAGAAAAAAATCATATAACTTGAAACTCAAAACAATTAACCACATTTAGGTAATTTTAAAATATAAACCATTAATTAGTACTTATTTAAAATTAAACATATAGGTATACAATAGCTATGTGCTTATTAAAAGAGGTCATAATATAAAAATAAAACAAAACTAATGCATTGAAGATAGAGCAAAATCAACTGTGGATATTTGACATATTGTGGTAGCCCAACATGCTGCTGTGTGTATTCAAATCAAGATTATTTATTCAATCTGGGACATTACAAAGCACTTGTGAAAATGGAAACTATGCCATCGGTTTATAAGTCTATGGTTGAAGACCTTGTACTGATGATTGAATCATATATTACCATACACTCATTTAAGTCTGACTTACTTACCTAACTCCTTATTACCCACAGCTCTTCAGTGTGATTGTCATGGGCTGCATATCGGCTAAAGGCTGGTACATCAGTAAGGAAGACAAGAAAGAATATTGCGTTTACAACAACGACTCAAATGCCTGCAATTATGGTGTGGGCATCTCAGTGATCGCTTTCATCGCTGCCATAGGCTTTATTGTTGGAGAGTATCTCTTTGAACAGATGTCCTCTGTGAAAACAAGAAAGCACTATGTATTGGCAGATTTGGGCTTTTCAGGTGAGATTTTGAAGTTGTTTATTAACTTTGTTGTTTTGTTGTAAACATATTAATTAAGCGGCTAACTTGCTTAATCTGATGTATTACTAGGAATCAAAACATAACAAATTATATGTAGAAAAAAAAAACAAAGTATCCTAATAAAATTTTAATTAGTTGTACTAGTAAAACTACAGTAAATTCTGTAATATAGAGATTATGTACGGCTTTATAACTTATTATTATTAGTTTGTGTTATGTTTCACTGATGAAACTTTATATTGTATTACAAATATTTTTTTATACAATTTAAAGTATCACATTGTGATACATTGTCTATCTATAATATACCTGTACTTGTTAAGAAATTATACATGCCAAAGAGATACTTCATGGCCATATCGCTGGGTTTATTGTGAGAAAATCAATATAGTGATTTTTTAATCATGAGCACTAACGAATTTTGAATATAAATACATATATTTTTTAATTAAAGGCAATGATGTTAAAAACGAAATTATATTTTAGGTATTTTTCTGTCTCAAATGTGTCTAAAACAACGAGATGAGTTAGTGTGTTTACCTTATACTTCAGTTTGATGCAGAATTGTACTCAATTCTATATCAGAAAGACAAACATAACGTGATTTGTTTGTTTATCAAGTAGGTACCAGCATATATAAAATCATCATCAGCCCTTTTACATTCTCATTGCAGGGGCTCAGGCCATCCTTATGGATGGTTAAGGAGAACAGGCCATGACCCTCCATGCTGCCTCAATGCGGATTTTAGGGTATTAACGACACTGCAAATGCAGCCGGGACCAACGGCTTTACTTGCCTTTCATAGCATGGAGTAGCTCGAGATAACAATTTTTTGGCCACCCATCCCATGACCGACCCTTGCGAAATTTGCTTAACAACAACAATCGCGGGCAGCGACGCTTATCCACCACGCCACTGAGCTATGTATATAAAATATTGCTGTTGAAAGTATGGTTTGTTACATTTGCGGTGAGATTTATATAGATTGTAATGCAGACTCATGTCGGTAAAGTATGCCCAGCGAGTATAAGTGTTCACATAGTTTTAAAAAAACTGCCAAAGAGTCTGACTCGCGCACGAAATTTTTCGTGTATCTTAAAAATCTTAAAAATTCAGTTCAAAAAGTGAACGCAACCAAAAAATCTCTCCGCACAGTATAAATGTTCACAGAACATACGATAGTATAATTACGATATCTAGCAACTTTCATACCCGGTGCCGTAGACCTGAGGTGTGATTACCCTAGTCATAGGACATCTTATCGATATTATGACATTGTTTCGTTTCATATTACTACTTTGACATGTCTTTTGATGGCTAAATGACTTAATTGGTAATACTGCTATCAAATCTATAGTACTCGTAATTATTCTTTTTTATATTATATCGTTCGTTCGTCGTTACTAAAGTACATGTCAAAATATTAAAATGAAACTAAATATCGCCATAACATCGATAAAATATCGCATCCTATAGCTAGAATCATGGCAAGTAAATAAGGCGATCGTTCCCCAGCTATAAACAGCAACAAATCTCGCAACCACCACTACCACGAAGCATCCTCAGGAGTTGTTAAACCTCTCAATGCCAACCACTCGGTGTTTCGATGCGACAAAAAAATTAAAAGAACCCAAACTCGATGTGGTTGCTTATTACAAAGGTTCCATGGTTACTTTCCTGCTCATTAGATTGCATATTGATATTGCATTGTCATCCAACGTCAACAGAAACATCCTCCATTGTGTCCGACATGTGGAAAGAATGACAAAACTGATACACAACGCGAAAGTGGAAGGATGCAGAAGCCGAGGGAATCTACGACAAACATTTTACGATCAAATTAATGGCGGGCTGTAAGAAAGTGATGTCAGATGCCATAAAAACTGGCGGGAAAAGAGTAATGAAAGTAGAGGAGGCGAAAGATGTATGTAAAACCGTCCCTTGTAGCACTCGGTCCTCTCAGCCTTCCCCGCAAGGAGTACGCACGCCAAATTGTATCTTAATTGAAAAGTCGGGAAGTGGGTCAAAAACTTACAAGATGTAACACTAACTACCTACCTAAAAATCTTGTAATAAGCCCTTCAGGAATTTGGAAATGAAAATAATTAATTTTGTGAACTATCCACCTCCATCTTCGTCTGCGCGGAATACAAAATAAGTTTGAAACAAATTAACTACTTCTAATTATGTATTGACAAGGAAATAATTACTCATCCCCTTTGCACAGATCCTTTGAACAGTTCTCGAGCAAGAGTGAGAGGTAATATTGCGAACTATAGGAATCAATATAGAGTTACTTAGATTGTATCTTTTCAATTGAAATCGTATTTTGGAAATTAAAATTATAAACTTTGTAAAAAAATAACATAGTAAAGATTGCCTGAAAGAGAATGCTATTGACCAATAAGAGTGTTTACTCTATCTCTTTTCAATTATTCAGTTCCAAGTATTTTTACTGGAAGGTGTGTCATTTTAAGTGCAATAAATGATTTATTATTAATAATAATTTTAATAATGTGTTATAGTTCTTCAATTGACGGAACGGATTGAAATTGATATGCTTCTTGCGTTAATATTTAGTAAAATGTTACATCGCGTACTTGATGTGCTCCATTAAGTTTAATGGCGATTGTGAACACGCCTTCGATAAAATACGAAATTTTTATATAAACAACAACAAGTCATCTTACTACAATATGTTATGAATGTTTAAAATTATGTAGAGAAATTTGACAGTTTTGTATGACAGAATATACAAAACTGACAAATGCTGTACAGTTTAATTAAAGCCTAAAGTTTCAAATACTCTTTCCAAACGTTCTCAATGCTTTTCTGTGATTTATCTTAAACATGCAGTAAATATCGATATTTAAAACAACAGTTCAAGTCGCGCCAGTCTGCGTTTGTGGAAATTAAGTTACCCTTGCAAAGGCCAGCTATTAGACGGGTGACCAACAATTTATTATTTCGAAAGAAGTGCTTCGGAAGGCGCACTTCTTTCGAAATAATAAATAATAAATGATAAATGATCATTTGGTACGCTATATCTGCTGTTGTTAACCTCTACCAATTCCCAAGCGCCCTTGGTGATGTATGGCCCATTCTCCATCTACGATGTGGTTTGTGTGTGTGTACTATACTCCTGACTGACTACGTTTCATAACTCCTGAAGTGTAGGAAATAATTTTTTTATATGAACGTGAACATAACAGCTTTGAGTCTCAACTGTTATTTGAATAGTTCCTTCCTGTGAGAGTTATTTAGTATTATACTCAGGCATTAACAAGGATTCACTGGGAATAGGGTTGCTAAGTATAAAATAAAATGAATAAGAAATTCATATAATATCTAATAATCTCGAAAAAATTAATATCACAGCCACAGCCAGATTTGAATTACGCTAAATTACTATTTGAATGCAATTCGCAAAAACTAAATGCAGAACTTACAGCTCAACAGAACCAATATCCGTGCGATTATACGAGCTTTAATTGGGGACTGTAAATAAAACAGAGCCCTATTTCACATGAAATTACGTGATGTTTACGGATTTTGTAAACAAGAGTGTGAAACACCACTGATCCACATAACTAAGCATACATCTGGGATAACACAGACCAGAAGAGATAGAATCTTTGAAAGCCGCAAAATCTCAATTGATCTTTTAAGTCATAGTGACTACAATCACCTAAAGAACTTGGAAACCCCAAGTAGGTATAACAATATCCGTAACGACCGTTAACGGTTTAAAAGCTGGACAAGCTTATTTGGGCGAAAACATATCCAAAAGTCTAATATCCGGACGGTGTGCACCGCAAAATATTTTTATTTTCTCTGGATATATGTGGGAGCACTTATATTAAAATTAACATGCATTCCTAATTGACTCTCAGATTCACTATCCCCATTTTGATTTTGTTAGGACAGTTAATATTTTTATTTTTTATTTAACACTTCATGTACTTAATACATTAGCAGACTTAATGCCTTAGGCATTTTCTACCAGATGGGTGATGTGGAGATAAAAAGGTAGTAGTGTGCACATTGTAGAGGAGATATAAACAAAGGAAATAAGACCTATAAAAAAATACATAAACAATACATACCTGTATACTTTCATAACTACATATACTAATATAATATATAATGTACATATATAATATAATATAATGTAGACGACTAACGGTGTAACGAATTAGCCTGTTCCAATAGAAAGCTACGCAGCTTGTTTTTAAATGTAACTTTGCTGGTGGACATTCTGATGTCCAACGGAAGTTCATTCCACAACAGAATCGATTTAACGAAAAACGAAGAATGGATGGTATCGGAGTGATGCGATGGACACATGAGCCGCAGATTTGAGGAAGGGCGAAGGTTTTTGGTATGAGTGGTACATATGTACCGAAATTGCGACGTGAGATAAGACGGAGCATTCGAGGAATTCAGTAAGGAAAACAGAGTAATAAGAGCTCGCATACTTCTACGCTGTCGAATGGTCACCCATTTTAAGTGAGATCGGTATGCGGACACATGATCATATTTTCTAAGATTAAAAACGAATCGAATGCAGTTATTTAGAGGTCGGTCAAGTTTATTTAGTAGATCTGCATTCAGGTCGAGGTAGCACACATCACCATAGTCGATTATAGGAAATATCAAGGACTGCACAAGCATAGCTTTAATATTGAATGGCAAAAAGTTTTTAAGACGATAAAGTGCTCGCAGTATTCCAGTCACTTTTTGACAAACACTGCTTACTTGCGCTTGCCAGTCGAGATGTAATCCAAGATCTTTTACACTAGGGCTAAAAGGATCGAACTACCATCATACATAATGGAGCCATGATTACTGAAGTTAATCTTCTTCATGATTCGTTGCCCCCCCCAATATTATAGCTTGGTATTTTGAAGGATTAACAGAGACACCAAAATTATTCGACCAGAGTTTTATAGCTGCTAAGTCACTGTTAAGTCTATCAATAGCATTATCTAATTCATTGATACTTGTGTCGGTGTATAACTGTAAGCCATCAGCGTACATATGTGTGATATGAACACTTAAGTTTGTGAGTGACGAAATCAATAAAAAATGAAAAAAGAAGAGGTGAAAGAATGCCGCCTTGGGGAACACCAGTTTCCAGATTGCACCAAGACGAAGTAGACTCGCCAGACTGGACTATCTGCTGTCGCTCCCGAAGATAAGATGAGAACCATGTTAAAACATTAAAATTTTCAATATGTGCGTCGAAATACAATCTTCCGATGAGATATATCTAAGACGCGACCTTTTATATGCATTATGAAGTGTAAATTACCTAGATCAATTCAGTAAATAGAGGAATAAAGGCTCGAAAGATAATTGCTCCGGGGTCAAATCGTGTGTCGATGTTAATTGAGTAGACCTTTGCGATAAACTTTACCATATGATTTGATCTATATCATCTTCAACTATGGTCTTATAATAGGGAATTATCTTCTTAATATTAAATACAGTGTTTTATTTAACTTTGCACTGACGGATTGATTTTAAATGAATCTGTGACATTATTTAGCTAATATTATTTTTAATTCAACACAATATAATATATATGTATTATTAAATGAAATAAATTTAATTGAACTGAAATGGGCCTTGACCCACCACGAGGAACTGGTATTGCAGGGTGTAAACAAATGCAGATTCAGCTTAGACTAACGGCTTAACGAGTCCTCTAAAGCACAGAGGAGACCCATACATTAAAATGTTGGTCATCTATCCTATGTTCAGCTCTTGCATTAGTTGTTTCACTTCTGCATCGAAGACTCAACGCGTCATCGAGCTCCTCAAAGACCGGAGCAACATGCCGCATATCCAGGTTTAAACATATTTTAAATGTTTAAAGTATCGTGTTACATTTTTCAGCTTTCTGGGCGTTCCTGTACTTCGTTGGCTTTTGCTACTTATCCAATGCGTGGGGCAAGACCGAGAATCCACCATACGGCACCGCTAACAACATGCAAGGCGCCATAGCCTTCTGTTTCTTCTCCATCTTTGCTTGGGTATGTTATATTTTATTAGATATGCTTTAGGAAAAAGTTAGGTCTTTTTCATAAAGCATGCCTATTAACTAACTGTTCCTAACTAAGATATTCATGGTAATGAATTAACAAGGTCGAAATCGATCATATGTGTGATATTTCCTTTAATCGTCCCAAAAAAATACCAGCTCCAGGTACTCCCAAGATGGGATGGGTTTTCAGGTAGCTCAATGGCTATAGCAGTCGACCGGAACCGGACCGAAAGTTTATGAGTTCGTATCCTATCTCGGAGTACCTAGAACTGGTTAATATTTCAAACATTTTTCTTTAAAGTGCGGTTATCATTGTGAATGCGAAATTCATCAAATATAATATTATTTTCTTTACTGAGCAAACTATGAATTAAAAATAATAGCCATCTAATTTAAAGTGCTGTATCAACATAATAATTAATACTTCATTATTAAATAATATTCGAATGTGCGATAAAACTTAACGACTCTTATTAAAATGCAATTAAGTACGTTAAATCTTTATTTACAAAATGTATTTTTTATCTCGAAAATGTAGTCTGCCTGCATTGCATTGTTGCTCAAATTCCTGTATTAAATATGCTGCCATTTCTGAGTTCATGTAGACTAATAGGGATGATGACTGAGTAAAAAAAATGCAATTCTATTTAGTCCGTCAGTGAGATAATAGAAAAATATTAGATACGAATTTTTTTTTACTTTAATTTAACAATAAATAGCTTAGATAACAGGCATTAAAGTTGAGGAGTGGGGGCTCGCTACGTCACAGTTGAGTAGAAAACGTACTCTAACGTGACGTCATGCGAAATTTCAATTCTATGTATCGCCGTTATTTTATGATTACGAAAAAAAAATACGTGTTTAATATTTTTTAACACTCTACCTAACGGACAAACAAACAAAAATTTGTCGTCATTCCTATTGTCTTATTTTTAATTCTATCGCAATACCATCATGATAGCAATTTATGTAGCATCGTCCTCTTTCTTAGCATAGTAAAACAATAACTTTAACCAGCGAAACTTAGGCGGTTATAGTTTACAGTTAAAGTTATGAAGAACCATTGTCAAATGATAACTCATTATTATTTGCTTAGCCGGTACTTTAACATGTTTGTTATTGTTAAAAAATTGCTATAAGAGAAGTGATGATATCCCCCCTGATGTCACGTTAAGGCGAGGTTGTACGAAATTACTGTTCTAATATAGAGTAACAATATTAGAACATTTATTATTATATATTTGATCCATTTTACATTCATGATGCTACACTGAAAAATATTCTAAATGAAAATTTCTTCAAAAATCCACTTTGAAAATATTTAAAAAAATCCAGTCGCCCGGATTGCCTAATCCCTTCAAACGTTTGGGCAGTAGTTTTTTAATTTTGTCAGACTATGATGTGTCAAAATACTTAATCTGGCATTGTCATCCATTGTGAATGCTACTGCCTTTCTTGTTGTTTTGCCGTTTTCCGTGATTAAATTGCTTTATTTTTGTTTTGTTTTTGTTGTTAAGTTTTATTAAATATGGACGATACCGGTCAGGCCCGAGTGGCCTACAATAATTACGCCCTAAGCCCCCATACCTATCCTCAACCTTTGACATTTCAAGAAGCTTTTCTAATGTCTAAATAAATGTAATAAAAGTGACTGGGCATAGATATAACTAAATTATATTCTAATTATAATCAAATCAACAGATAGATAGATAGAATAGAGGTTCCATGTTGGCTCATCTCGACCTCATTTCAACCCTGAGGTATTGTAAAAATTAGAAAATTGCTCAGCTCTTTCAGATTACCTAACGTTCAAAGTTTCAACAAAACTATAATCTATATTTTTTAAATTTATCTTGAAAATAAAATGTGCACTGCTGCTTCTATGACCCTCTTTTTTCTAATGTTATAATGAATGGAGTATATATACAAAATATAAATAGTTAGTTTAAATGTATTAGTAATGAAAAATTAATTTAATATTTGCATGCTATCTATATGTATATATGTATGTATGGCGAAATAGGCTTTAAAGTTTTTTTTTTTATTTACACTGCTATCAAATTGAACCCTATTTAAAGGCAAATAAACGAATTAATTAACTTAAATTATAATCGTAAAGTGGGTGGCGCATTCTTCGCCCTACAGCCTTACCACATGGGGGCGATGGATTCCTAACAACTTTGCTTTTAATAAAAATACAGCCGCTCGCAACTTTAAACTTGCTTCAAACATAATTTCTTGATCCGACATCAAACTCAGTTCATACTTCATGTGTTATACATATTTTGATAAAGTTCTTATATAGGCATATCAATGGCGTAACGTACGTAACCTACTTTATATTTATCGCCGCATTTGAAGCTCTGTACTAAATTTACTGATTAAGTCCGCCGTTCGTCTGTTTCACCAGGCAATTAAAATTAAATAAATAAAACGATATTATGCCCGTAAGGTGGGTTGCGCGTTCTTCGCCTTGCAGCGTTACCGCATGGGCGCGGACGCGGCGTTCGCGCCCGCGTACGAGGTGGAGGGCGCGGTGGGCAGCCCGGGCGCGTTCCCCGCGTACCCGGGCGCGCCCGACCCGCAGCCCGCGTACAGCGACCCGCCGTTCTCGCAGACGCATACCGCCGGTGAGTAATACACCCCGGCAACTGTGTATATCATTTTATTTACATTTTATCACAGGAATTTTAAAGCATAATCTTAACACTAAGATACGAGTTGATTAGATGGTTAATGTAATGTCAATAAAAATTTTCAAAGAGATATAAAATTATTTAAAAGGATGTAACAACCAAAAGTATACATTATATAGTATGCGTAAAAGGGCTGATGATGATGATGACGATGATAAATTAATATTTATTAAATACATTTGTATTTTCTATTATCTGCCTGACTAACTAAATTGATTTTTTTTTTACCCATAATTAGGTATATTTTCTATCTCTCTTAATAAAGTATATTTTCTATATTCGTCTCATTTTTATCACTAAATAACAATTTAAATCTCAATTTTAACAATGGCCACCCTATACGCGTAGGCATTTTATGACTTCAGCTTCAATTACAAATGTCTGTGCCGTAATTGGAATATAATATCAATCAGTAATCTCAACATCCACTCCTTTCAATTCACAATTTTTTTCATATTTCAAATAAAAAGATTGGGTAATATCACATACATTGTTCAGTAAAGTGATTCCTCCTTCACTCAGGTGACCCGATTCACTGAAAATTCAAAGTTAAGCGGATGTCGCTTCCAAAATAAATTCAGAAACCTGCAGAAATTCGAATTCGGGTTCGGTTTTTTACGGAATTCCTCTGCTGAACAATGTATGTGATATTGTCAATTTTTTTTTTAATAAAATTGCTGGCATTGTCAAGTAAACAATTTAATATTTCCAGGAAACATCGACTACACAGCTACAACTTACTAAGTTGTTTCGCGAGAACGATTTGGTGTTTCAATTTATGTTATAGCAACGCTTTCCTGCACCGAGTAAGTAATAATTAATGCATACATATATTAGTTGGACTATAGACATACTATTTGACATTATTGGACTTGTGTGTATTAAATCAGTTTATATTTAATAATCAAAAATCACCATAGTATTGTATTGTGTAAGGACTACTAATGCTTGGCACGTAAGATGAACCAAAATGGCGACTGTCCGGTAGCACCTTTTCTGGTTTCAATGGGGGCTATCGGTTTTTCGCTCACCAAATGGCGTCACGGTCCGAGAGGTCCTCTCAAAGTTTGTTTACTACGAAATTGAACTTAACTCATACATAAGAAACCAAACATTCCCGATAAAAAATGATTAAACTGCTCTTTCATCCGCCTAGTAAAATTAAGCGGCCTCTTTTTTTATCTAAGGTTTTAAAGCACTATTTGACATGCAATAGTGATTGCGAGCGTGACGTTATCTTCAAATATATTGATTGAACGATATGGTTATAGACGCAAATATTTTTGCAAGCTATTGGGAAATGTTAAACGAAATGCTATCTGCATTCTTTGGACCGTTTTTGATTAGTTTATAGTTTATAGTTTATATAGTTTATATTATGATTCTTAATAATTCAAATCATTATTCGTAATAAAACCGATTGAGACTGCTAACAACATACCTTTGGAAGGGATCAGGATAGATTTTAAAATTCTATAAATTGCCCACGGAACCTATGGAATAGCGCCAATTTAGTTCAACTTACACGCCACGCATTTGGAATACTGTGGTAATTCTGTAATATCGAGATGACACTCTTTTACAACAAACCAAAGTTATAATAAGCCACAGTAGATACAAGCTAACAGTAGGTAAAAGATATTAACAAGACTTAAGTGAGTGCGTAAAAGAAATAGTATGTAGAATAATTAATTTTCAACTGGAAAAAAATGTTTAAAAAACTCGATTATTTTCCAATATTTTTGAATCTAAAAAAAAATCATAATATATATAATAGCACCGCACATTTTAAGCTTCATGAGGTTATAATCTTACTGGAATTATTAGGACCTAACATAACCTAAACCTGCTTTAGTTCATAGAGTTACGAGAAAATTATAAAAATATTTAGTAACATCCAATAAATCTAAGGGTGTGAAAGCAAAAACTTATATGAAATCTGTTGATTTGTGATCATAATATATAGGAGGTCGGTCCAGCAGCCGATCCTAAACATCCATAATATTTTACGCTAGCAATTCAGCAGAACAACTATTTCCGCTTTCATTAAATTAAGCTGATCCACAAGTGCCAAATATTGGAGAACAATATGAACCTCATTGGTTGATCTACTTATCTTGTTTCTACTGTGGCATAAAATTTCAGTCGGTTCTTCTATACTTACCAAAAATTCAATTTTCAATTTCAAATGAGTGATACATATTTTTTTAGTCTAACCCTTGGCAATTTTAACGTAACATGTACTTAATTATTACATTACATGATTATCACATCTTCAGTGTCTTAGGTTTATTACAATAAATTAGATTTATAATTTTTATAAGAGATGTGTCACACAGGCATTACAGTCACGCGGCTTCCAAAATTACGCGCGAATTAGCATTTTATTCGTGCGTTAATCTGGAAGTCGCGTTTATACATTTCTCAAAAAAAAATGCAAAATAGAACATGAAATGACTCGTCCTTTCTGGACAAAATTCCCACTGAAATGCCCCATATGTGTGACAACTCTAAAACCTTATAATTATAACATTATTTTAAGTGATTGTTATTGTTTTACTCGAATACTGTAATGGGAAAGTAATTGGTGATTTTATTTTTGTTATAAGATAAATAAAATAATAAGAATTGACTCTTGTATCCTATATAAACGTTTGTCTTAAAGTCTTATATAAGGTGTAATATAATTATATTCCAGGACTTCGTGGGGTGGATTAGTTAAGCATACTGAACCATTTTTACTATGGGAGTCACACAAGTCACGAACAAATAATCTGATGTTTCGTGCCCGTTAACGATTGTAGATGTTATAATTTTGTATGAAATAGCAAATTTTTTTGTGTATTCAGTGTTGCTCCCATAGTAAAAGTTGTTCAGTATACTTACCTATTCCACTCCACGAAGTCTTGGCATATAAATAAAATTACACTTATATATCAATGCACCGTTTCTTCTTATAATTACAAATTGATACAGAATTTAGTTTTACATTTAATTACTTAGTTCTCAAGAAGCATTTTTGTTGATCTATACGTATCTATGATAAAGTTGCAATTGTATTTTTTTTTTACAATTAGTCAAAGTGATTTTTCAATTTAAACCTACATTGAAAAATCCCTTTTAATTCTTTTTTATGACAAATTTATGAATTCGTTAAGTTATAACATCAGGGTAGTTCGCGATGTTCCAAATCGCTTACAAAATCTTAAAAAAATATATATCTTAAAGTGACACTTAAAAAACTTAAAAGTGTACCGCCGACTTCCTGCACTATGCCCACTTGTAAGTATATGTATATTTTCGACGATACTCTCCGAATATGTATTGTAAAAAAATAACGAGTATATTATATTATGTAAATACAAAAAGTGACAGACAGACAATCGTGATTTGGACTTGTGATATTTATTTCGTTTTATTTCATTGTTTTAGTGTATTACCATTAATCGTATTTTTGTCTATGACGTCATTATTTTTTTTATTAGCATCGTGCCATTCTACGCTTTAATGAAATATATAACATTATATAAATATCATCAGGTAATGGTCATACTATTTACATCGAATAAGTGCAAAGTTTAGTGTAATTACTGAGATTTTATATATATAATATTAAAACTATAAATGTATTTGTTTTTTTTTAATGGTAAATTCAACATATTTTTTCAGTAATTACACTATTTTAATATAGCTTTGAAGCTTAAATTTCATTATAATATGAGTACGTTTTAAAAGTAATTAGGTAAATTAATATAATGTGTAGTAGGTACATAATTTCCAAACGGCATATCGTGTATTTTGAGTTTTTTTTTTATTAATTAGTGTTTAGACGTGTTATATGTATTGAATAGATTAAAATGCCTTTTCTCGTTCTTGAAATTTGTTATTTCCATATAGAGTAGTATGATTCAATTTACTATTTTAATGTTAGTTTATAAGGGACAAATATTAGAATTGTGTGATTTGAATTCTACTAAATTAGCTTATAAACTTAAAAATTATGATTGGATAGAACTACGAATCTTGATTACTTAATTTCCAATCCGAAGTAATTACAATAACTCCTAAAGTAACAATAATTCAATTCTTGCATAATATGGCTCGGTTTAACACTTTAAAAGAAGTCTTATCCGCGTTGCTTTTATGACCTACCCAAAAGTTCACGCAGACTTGTCCAAGGACGGATCTAGGGCGGACTGGGTCTAGAACCTAGATGGATTACTAATTAAAATTGTTAAACATAATATTTGTATATATGTTTGGTCCAAATATAAATTTTATTTAAGTACTTTCAAATTTTAATTAAAATAATATAATAATTTGTATCTGTTACTATCAAAATAACTTTTTGTGACGTGACTACGACCATATAACCCAATCCTAGCGTAAAAACTGAATCCGCCCAAGGACTTATCAAGTGAGCGTTTACATTAGGAGATTTAGAAAAATATCTGCCTATAAAACATAAATGTACCTAGTCACAAACAAATCGATTATAGATTCATTATGAATTATTATTATTAATCATTTAACACACGTAAAATCTTAAAAAATCTCCGACATAGCGTCTCGATAAAGACCTGTTCCGTTGCATTTCTATTTAATTTTTAATTATGTGTGTCCATCTCGCGAAAGTGCTAGTGAGCAGGTCCTAGTGGCTAGAGGGCCAGCGGAATCCTTGCTAGATCTCAGACCCTTACCCCCCTTCCCATGCTAAATGTGTTTATAAGGTAGACTAACCACGCATTGATCTGCCCTTTTTAGGACGGGTTCTTGTGAATAGAGAGCCCTAATTTAAAGCTCGAGTTGCATTTCCCCTGCGTCAACAATAAGGTTCTAGTAGTTGCTGAGCTCTGTTCCTCATTCCTCATATCTCCAACGTGTAGATTTTCAAACATTTGTCCCTTTTGTCTGGCTGTGTTGTGAATAAGCGTAGTGCGCTATGGCACGGTCACCGAATATAGAGTATTACGTACAATAACCCAGCACTACGTGTCTCTTTCAATCGTGCGCAATCATATTGCTATTGCGCTCGCACAGGTACATCGAGCCAATTTTGTCATAGTAAAGTGAACTTAATATGTTAACAATATCTTTCAGTAGGCATAAAGGTCAACGTACGAAGTTCTTTCTATTCGGCGACTGTGTAATAGATATTTGAGTGCTTTATAAATATTTGAATGTGATTTAATATTTTATTCTGTGTCATTACATTGAGCTGTTTGAGAACGCGACGCACTTATGTTTTTGATTATTTTCTTGTGATCTGATGGATTCAGTATTATAACTAAATATAACTTATATATATATATAAAAAGCTATACTTAAGCGCTTACTCCAAAATCATAGTATTTTTTTAAAGATGATATTTTAGAAATATTCCTATTTCTAATAGATATAATTGTTTAAATGTTTAGTGATATTAAAATTATTGCACTGATTAAATCACTCTAACAATATAAATGAAGGGTGCTCTATCTTTAAATTAACAAGGTGAAATCCTTAAGAAATTGTTTAAAAAGTACAAAGTAAACTCAGTGTAATAATTTTAATACACATTAGTGTTCGGCTTAACGGCCTTTTGGCTTGCTGGATTTTTTACTTATATACTCTGCATTGATAGAACTTAATTACATGTTTTATAGGTAATGCCTTTACAAACACTCGAACCACTGTAGACAATAATTTCCTCCAATGTATCTAGGGTTGCCAAACGTTCCCAAAAATAGAATATTGTGTTGTATATCGTTTAGACACTCAATAATCTATAATACTAATAGAGAACACTAATATGCTCTTTTCTACACAATGTTTATTATAC